ACACAATCGGGTGCAAATGGATATTCAATAAGAAGACCGACATGGATGGGAAGGTACACACCTATAAAGTGCGAGTGGTTGCGAAAGGCTTTACTCAAACTTCGGTAGTTGACTATGATGAGACCTTCTCACCAGTAGCAAATATTAAGTCTATTAGGGTTGTGCTAGCCATAGCTGCATTTCATGACTATGAGATATGGCAAATGGATGTCAAAACCGCTTTCCTTAATGGAAAGTTAGCTGAGGATGTTTACATGAATCAGCCAGAGGGTTTTGTCAATGCCAAGTACCCTGATAGAGTGTGTAAGCTTGAGAAATCCATCTATGGATTGAAACAAGCATCTCGCCGATGGAATCTTTGTTTCGATGAGAAAGTCAAAGAGTTTGGCTTTTCGAGCAAAGATGAGTCTTGTGTATATGTCAAAGCTGGTGGGAGCATAGTTAGCTTCTTGGTATTGTATGTGGATGACATACTACTCATAGGAAATGACATCCCAACCTTGCAGGATGTAAAGTCCTGGCTTGGGAAGTGTTTCGCTATAAAGGACCTTGGAGAAGCTACCTATATCCTAGGGATAAGGATATTGAGAGAAAGGAGTAAGAGAATAATTGGACTTAGTCGGAGTACCTACTTGGATAAGGTGCTGAAAAGGTTCAGCATGCAGGATTCCAAGAAAGGAGAATTACCGATCCAGAGTAACGCCAAATTGAGTAAGACTTAGAGTTCGAGTACAGAGGCTGAGATAACTAAGATGGGTCATGTACCATATGCTTCCGCAGTGGGCTCAATCATGTATGCTATGACTTGTACTCGCCCTGATGTGGCCTTTGCTTTGAGCATGGTCAACAGATATCAAGGGAACCCTGGCAAGGCTCACTGGACTGCGGTGAAGAACATTCTCAAGTACCTGCGGAGGACTAAGGACTGGGTCCTTACACTCGGTGGGAGTGATAACTTGACAGTGGTGGGGTATAGCGATGCCAGTTTTCAGACGGATAAGGATAATTTCTGCTCTCAGTCAGGCTGGGTCTTTACCATGAATGGAGGAGCAAATACTTGGAAAAGTTCCAAGTAAGAGACAATAGCTTATTCTACTTGCAAATTAGAGTACATAGCAGCAAGCGAGGCGGAAAAGGAGGCGATATAGCTGAAGAACTTCATTGGAGACCTTGGAGTTGTACCAGCTATAAAGGAGCCCATGGAGATTTTATGTGATAGCGAGAGTGCAGTTGCCTTAGCCAAGGAAGTAAGGGATCACAGCAGATCTAGGCACATCGACAGAAAATACCCTTTCATTAGACATCGTATAAAAGAAGGACTCCTCGTGGCAAAGAGGGTATCATCAGATGAGAACCCAGCAGATCCCCTCACGAAAGGACTGAGTAAGGTTAAGAATATACAACATGTGAGGCGCATCGGGCTGAAGGATGATATTAGTTTTAGTAATTAGATAGCTTTCGAAACTTGTAATAATTGAAATGTAATTGACATTTGATGTTTAAATAAAAGGTGTCTTTTATTTACTAGTATGGTACTGTCTTGTGTCAATCATTTACTATTGTTTCATTTTGCATGTTTTGACTTCTAGAATAATTTTATTATTCAAACTATCCACAGTCGATCATACTTTGGAAGTAGGTATTGAAATAAGACTGTCATGAATTGGGTTTGTAGATTTGTCTAAATTGTATTGGACATAGCAATGGTTTCTGCAACATTCATGAGTGCTCATAAGGTCTGAGTATTGGATTCAACCCACACTCATTTGTATCACTTCATGAAATTCATCTCGAGTGATCGTGAGATGGTAATATCATATAAGTCTTAAAGCCAAGAGATATGAGTTGTTGAACTGTGAGTTGGCTGTACATTGATAGTACGAAAACGCATCAGTAACTTGATGCTATAAAACGTGTTGTTGTGTACAATTTGATGAATAGTTACTACAAGCATATGAGTCGAAGCTTATCTGTTCCTTCTAGTCCTTGGAGGATTAGAAGCGATATCTTGGGCCCCTCGATGATTTTGTTTTGACCTATGTGTCGGGCCCGGTCAGAACTAAATTGATGTGTTCGATTAAGTTCTATGTCAAACAGATCGGAAATCGAGAAACAAACTGCTACACAATTAGTACGACGGTGTTCCATGTATTTGTCCAGCTGATATCTTGAGAACAGAGGATTATATGATCATTTATCTTAATGGCGCATCATCCTAGTTCCACGAGACTTTGAAAGAGCTACGATTGCTGGTCGGATTCTGAAGTTATACCTGTAACAATAGTTATTAGACTTATCCATGTGGGACACTGTTGGATATAGTGTCTAAGTCCATAACTATATTTGGTATGTATTTGACCCGACTTGGCATGGTCCATTTGGGCTGCATGGCATCACAACAATTGGATATACAAAATGAGATAAAAGGACACTTATGATTTATTAATATATTATAAGTTCTAATATATTAATATGAAATCATATTATTTAATTAGTATTGATCAAGAATTAATTTGGAATTAATTTTGTGATCAAAAGGAGACTATTTAAATATATGAGGATTGATTGTGTAAATCATTCATTCTTATATAATGGGCTTATGATCCATGGTTCATAAGATTGGGCTAAAACCCATAGGGTGCTCCATGGATGCTCCATGGAGGTTAAAACACATGGATCATGGAGTAAGTGAAAGGTCATGCACATTAGGGTTTGCATGGTGTAACCCTAATTGCATGACACTATATAAGGATCCTCATGTGGAGCAAAATTGGCACTTAGACAAAAAGGAGAGGGCTAGTCGAATTTGTGATACAAGTGTTCTATTCTCAAGTTATTCCAAGAGTTTTGGTGTTGTGTGAAACATTTGAGGCATCACACTTGGGGTGCTAGGCTCACAAGGTCTTAAGGAATCAAGCAACAAGAAAAAGGTATGCCATTCTACTAGTTTTATATTACATGTACCTTATGATATGCTAGATAGGATGAAACCTTGGAAAAATCAATATTTGCATGTATAATAGAGAAAACATAGATCCAAGGTTTCTAGGGTTGCATGTACATCATAGGAGTGTTAGAATGCTCAAAACCCTACAGTTTATTCCATTTTTCTTAAGCTCTCATCTTTTTTTAGAAGAACGCCACATGCCTTAAGAAAGCCATTTAGTAGTTTCTATGTGAATTGGACATTGAATATATGTTTGTGTGGTGCAGCTTTTAAAGATGATAATTAATTGGATATAGAAGAATAAGTGAATAACCAGTCTTCTAATAGATCCCAAAAGCTCGCAATTAATTAATGCATGAACTTGAGAAAGGAATTTAGGAAGTGTAGTAAACTGAAGTATGGACTATATAAGTTATCCTTGTATAGATGTGAATCATGAAGAAACGCAACGAATTCAGCTACGAGGAGAATATAGAATAAAAATTTTCAAATCTAAGCAGCTAACGAAGTAAACAGTTACTGCACTCATAAGACTATGATTTATACCTTGGTGCCTTCAATTCCGAATTGCAACAATTGAACCCGATTAGCCTTCAAAAATTCCACGTTATGCTCCTGATATGGTTTCGGACACAAATATATAGAAACACAAAACACCAAAAAAAATCTGCCAAATTTTCTCTTAAATTAAGCAAGCAGATTGATCCGAAGCAGCCACATGACCGAACATCATTCCAGCCGTCGACTGAAAAACCTCGTAATTATCTCCAATTACAGATTTGAATTAATTTACGATACTAATCCAACATTAAAACAAGTGATACATAATTACACACAAATAGTGACTTACACAATGGAGCGAAGCCATAGAGTTTTTGAGAAACAAGAAGTGAGCGGTATTGGGGAATCCTGAACGAAATATGCCATTATCAACCATGGAGAAATTAAGCCGGTGCGTTAAGAGCTCTTCCCCATTCAAATCGAAGTTATCAACGGTGGAGGTTGATAGCTTGCTGACAGATTGAACTACTTCGACGAAGATTTGCTAGTTTTGCGATGATTTCGAGCCTCGCTACAAAATAAGAAATCGATAATCAACAAAAAGAAAAACTTCACGAAAAACAGAATTGAGAGGTTTGGAGAAAGAAATCTAAAATGGAGAGCCATACCCTAGATGACCAGCTTCAATTAAGCCTGATAGTTCGAGGATTAGTGAGCATGGTGGATGGTCGGAGACAGGATGAAGGGGAGAAAGAGAGAGACGTGATGATGGGTTGAATTTGATTTAGGGTATAAATTAACTATGTTATCCCAAAATGTCCTTCGTTCATTTTAGTTTGATACCCTCGCGTCTTTCTTTTTCTAAGAATTTACAAAACTGCCATAAATCATCTTTACCTTCTATTATTTTGATCTAATGGCTTTTATTTGGTTATCAGGTTCTCAGGAAACTATGAGTTCTCAAATGATCCTTCCTATATATATATATATATATATATATATATATATATATATATATATATATATTAATATATATATATATCCAAATTTGCTTATATTGTAATATGTTTCATATATACATATTTATTTTTGAAACGTTTTTCAACACAAATTTTTATGCATCTATGTAAACTTTTTTTTTTTTTGAAAGAAAATCTACAACAAAAATTATCCATGAGTTCTTACGAACATAAGAGTTCTCAAACGACAAAAGATGCTGACCCTATTTATATCACTTAGAAGACAACGGGTCATCGTTCAAATACAAATGCCTAGTTTGAAAAAGATGCAGATGTTCAAATACAAAATCTGGAATCGGTGCTGATCAGCCTCTTCATTTCAAATCAAAACATGAGAATTTATCAATACATTGATAGAAATGAGACATAATCCAAAATTTAGTTTTGTTCCAAATCAAGTTCGAACATTCATTAAACTAAGTCAATACATGGATAAGAAATTACATAATTTCGTGCTTACTTCATTAGACATTCCATTTCCAACCTTCCCTAAAGTACGAATCAATACCAGCAAAAAGACAAAAACTTCAACTTCACTTTTTCTTAAACGGTGTTATCTTAATAACAAGTCCTGGAAAAACATCATCAGGATCATGAATATGCGGGTTTTCTTCAACAATATAAGGATCCCCACACTTTTCACTTATAGTATGCAATGTCTCTCCTTCACGAACCACGTAAATCTCGTCACACGGTCTGTACATTGAATATTTGACAGAAATTCTAATTGCCGTTTCTTCGTCTTCTGTTGCTAATGACTCACAACAACTTAAAACCAACATCAAGGCTAACAACAATGAGCAGTACCATGAGATTGTCTCTGCCAATATAGTGGATGAATGAACTCGACCCATAATGATGACCAAAATGTATGAAAGAATGGAAAGAATAATTTATTTAAGATGATATTGTTTAGGGTTTTTAAAAGACAAGAAGAGAGTCTTTGGAGTTGGTATGATTTGAGTTGAGTTGGGAGGGAAGTTGAAATGGATGCTTTCGATGTAGTAGGTAACCATCAATACCAAAGAAAACAAGAACACTATGGGGCAAAATTTGGTTTAACGACATTTCTTTCAAATGGATCTGTTTTATTCATGATATTAAAAAAAACATAATATCTTATTTTACCTCTTACGAGCGTTAATTTTCTTTTTATGTAAGCAAGTTATAGTTTCATTGATTAAGTAGTTATTTTTTATTTAGTATACGTTTTCTATCAATTATATACGTAACCGATTTTTCTTTGTAGTCAGCTAAATTAAATGCAATTGCATAAATTTGAAACCGGTCGATAATCCTTATTGCATAAATATGTCTTAAACCTTTGTATAAATTATTTTGATTTATAAATTATAACCAAATGTTGTAATTTTAAGAAAAACATAATAAAAGAAACTTGTAAACCTTAGAAATTATATTTTTTAAACAACACAATAATGTATTGTGCTTTTCTTTTCTTTTTTAAATAAAGAGTTTTAACTGATTGTGAAGGATGAGAAGAAAAAAAAATCTCTAATCCATAACTGCAAATAGCACATAAATTTTTTGGGTTCTACTCTTTTTCTAGCAAAGAAAAGCACCAGCAACAAAAATCCAGTCACGATAGAGTAAGAGAAGATGGAGATATATGTGTGGGGATAGAGTGGCTGCTACCAGAAATTCTAGAATTCCAATGGTGTCAAAGACGTGAATCAATTCTTATTGATAGCTTGAAAACAAAGCAATAGACAAGAGTTTAAATAGGAAGCTAGCCAAACAAACAACCTAAACAATAGGAAGAGATTAAGGTAAATATCTAAACAATAGCTATGCTATCAATATCTAATACTCCCCCTCAAGATGGAGCATGTAGATTAACAATGCCCATCATGCCAAGTAGAACTGAAGTTGGTTAGCACCACGAGCTTTCGTGAGCAAGTCAGCAACTTGCATCTTGTTGTCTATCTTCATCAAAGAGACTTCTCGAAAAGCCCCCCGTTCTCAAACAAAAAAGCAATCCATTTCCACGTGCTTTGTCCTCTCGTGGAAAAATGGATTGTTTGCAATATGACGAGCCGTCTGGTTGTCACAAAACAAATTGGTTGGAGTGTCATGACAATTTGTAAATCCTTGTGGAGCCATCTAACCCACAAAACTTCACTAACCGTCGAGGCCATGGCGCGATACTCAGCTTTAGCGGAAGAGCAAGAGACGACGGATTTTTTTAGTTTTCCAATAAATAGGAGCACCGCCACGCAAAAGCAGGTAACTCGTTCGAGAACGTCTTGTGTATGGCTTTGGCGAGATAGGTTCTCCAGTGCGTGGTAAAAGAATTCCTTGACATGCGGTCTTTTAAGTACCTTAGGACTCATGTAACTCTCTACATATGGCTTTGGCGAGGGTCAAAGACAAACTGACTCAACAAGTTAACAACATATTTAACATTAGGACGAGTTGCTTGAAGATAGAGATGTCGACCAATAAGTCTGGAATACCGACTAGCATCAACCGGAGCTTCTTCTTGTCGTCGATCTAACTTCAAGTTTTGCTCAATAGGAAACAAACTCGGTTTGCAACACAACATTCCAACATCTTCAAGGATATCCAAGATGTACTTTCATTTACTCAGAACTAATTCATTTGAAGTTTATGCTAATTCTATTCCAAGAAAGTATTTTAGTTGCCCAAGATCTTTAATGTTGAAAGCTTTCTCGAGTTGTCCTTCTATTTGTTGAATCCGGTCAGAATTATCACCAACTATGATGATATCGTCTACATGGTAGTAAAAAAACCATCTCAATTTTGCAAAACAAGGGAATGATCGGCCTTTTACTAAAAAAAATTAATGCTCAAAAGAAATTTTGTCAATTTGTGGTACCAGTTGCGAGAAGTTTGCTCTAGACTGTAGATGGATTTTTTTTAGACGACAAACACGAGTATCATTTTCTTTTGAAAAGCCTTGTGGAACTTTCATATATACCTCTTCATCAAGGTCTCCGTCCAAGAAGGGATTGTTTACATCAAGCTATTGTGTTAACCAGTTCTTCTTGGCATCAATTGCTAACAGAGTACGCATTGTTACCAGTAGTTTTGCAACTGGAGCAATAGTGTCATGATAATTGACACCTTCAAATTGAGTGAATCCCTTTGGCAACTAATCGAGTTTTGAACCATTCCACTTCTCTAGTTAGTTTATACTTGATCTTATAAACCCATTTTCAGTTAATAGGTCGTTTTCCCTTTGGAAAATCAGTAAGGGTCCATGTTCCATTGTTTTCAAGGGTACAAATTTATTGCTGCATAGCTTGTCTCCGGTGCTCATCCGGAGAAGCTTGTTTAAAAGTTTTAGGCTCATTATTGGAGGTAATGGTCATTAGGTAAGCTTTATGACTTTCAGAAAAACTCTCATAAGAAATAAAGTTAGAATTAGGGTGTACCGTTGAGGCAGCTTAACTGGAGTCGGGTTGTTGATGATTGATCGAAGGGGGAAGCTTGACAAAATAATCTTTGATTCTTTGTGGTTGTGACTTGGTCCTGGTGCTTCTTGAGTTATTTCTATTTTCTATCTCATCACTTTGCATCTGTTCACTCGTAAAATTGTCGGGTTTGTCATATGGGTCTGTTTCGGTGTCACTATGTTGCATACCCTCCTCATGGTCTTCGCTTCGAGGACTAACAAGACAATCATGGTCATTATGTGTTGACTTTTCCATGAAAACGGATTCTATTGGCTGGTTTACGGTGAGTTTTTCATAACAAACATCGTCATGATATTTGGTTGGTTCTTCATCTTTGCTGTAATACTCAACCTTATTACTCCTGAGTGGAAGGACGTCTTCACTAAAGACCACATCCCTACTGATGACGATTCTCTTGGATTCAACATCATAAATTTTATACCCTTTGGTTCCTTGTGGATAACCTAAGAAAGCACTAGGCTTTCCTTTCTTCTCAAATTTATCTACCTTTGTATCGGTAATCTTGTAATACACAAGGCAACCAAAAACCTTCGTATGATCATATTGGGGCTTTTGGTTTCAAATGATTTCATAAGGGATTTTATTGTTAATGACTTTAAAAAGGAAGGAAATTGATGATGTAAGCAGCTCTTAGGATGCATTCCCACAACCCCCCCCCCACCCCAAAAAAAAACATTTTTGGAAATTTTGCTTCAAAACAAATTGATCGGACTGTCTCAAGAAAATGTCTATGTTTTCTTTCCTGTTGGGTCGAATGTATATGGTGAGAAGTCGAAAGTAGTCAGAGTCTGTAAGTGCCGAAAGTAGTATGGTTTCGACACTTTATCTATTTACAAGGCAGTTTTAGCTTCGACACTTAATGTCTAGTCCTTGTATTTTTTTTAAGTCTGTTGTACCCTATGAATAATATAAGTACTTAGAGTAGAGTAACGAACTAAGCGTCATTTTTCATCTTGTACTTAAATACTCTCTTGTACTCTTCACACGTTAGCCAAAAAGATCTTATTTAGATCTCGTGTTCGTTACTTCTTTTATTGAATCAATTGTGTTCTTAATCAATTTATAACACACTTCAATTGGTATCAGAGCAGGATTAACACAACCAATTGAAATTTTCTCGTATTTTTTCATCTTTTTGAATCGCTCTTTCCGATTCAAAATATTCCACAGATCGAAACAGAAAACTTGTGTCAATTGATTAGATTGAACTGATTATGCACTATGGGTGTTAGATCAAGTGATTTCTGATTGAACTCTGATTAATTTCTTTCATATATTTCTACTTGAATCAAAAATATCTTTCTTCAAAATCCGTACAACAACGGCGAATTTTAGTTTGAACACGATGACTAATTTCTCTCACTTTCTCGGATCATCAACAAAGATTCCAATGTTGATTCCAGAGTATTATGAGAGATAGGCTGATAGAATGGAAGGTTATCTTAATGGTATTGATGAAGACCTGATGCGATCGATCAATAAAGGTCCATTTCATCCTAATATGTTGGTTACTCTTGGAACTGCTTCTACAAATGAAGACATGATCACACAAGGAAACAAGATGTAAACAAATGATAAGAAATGTTTGCATGAATTACGTGGTGCTCTTCCACCAGTAGTGTACAATTACATGCGTGGATGTTCTACAACGAAGCAGATCTGGGACGTCTTGAAGGAGAAATATCAAGGTAATGAGAAGACGAAGAAGAGTTAAGTCAAACAATGCTTGCTAGAGTTGGGAAAATTCTAGCATAAGGAAACAGAATCAATCCAATCATACTATGATCGGTTGAATGAATTAATTTTCAATAGTTCTTGCTATGAAGTGACACATTCGACACTAGAGTTCAATCTCACCTTTCTCATGGGTTTACGAAAGGAATGGAGAAACATCAGTTTGATGATCAAGACACAAGAAAGCTTTTGATGGCTATTCTCTTTCAAATCTTTACAATATATTGAAAGCTCATGATAGCGAAATTATTGATATTACTAAAGAAAGTAAATCGAATTTGGGAGGACCATTAGCATTGGTGTCGAAAGTTGTTGCTAAGGAATTTGAATCTGAAGAAGAATTTAAGGGTAGTGAAGAAGGATTCTTATTCAACTCCGATGATGAAGTAGTCGCATATTACACAAACAACAAGGTCAAGAAATTCTTTAAGAAGCCATTTAATGGAAAGTTCAAGAATAATTCTGACGGCAAGAGTGTATCATCGACTGGGAAATATGTGAAGGAGGCAGTGAAAGTAGAAAAGAAAGAGGTGGAGAGTTCGAATGAGAAGAAGAAAGAATTCAAGTTGAAGGGTGATTCCCGTTACAATTGTAACTACTGCAATGGTTAAAATCACCTAGCGAAAGATTGAATTCTGAAGAGGAAAGAAGAGAAGAATGGG